GGGGGGTTATCTTCCTGTCTTAAAACGCGTGCTTTAGAAAGTGATGGCCTCGCTTCGAGTTTTGCAGGCACCTATGACAAATGGTGCTCCTACTGACCTTCAAAACGCGCCTCCACATCCTCTCCACGCCGCGGCGCCAATTCCAGCTTTGCAAAACCACCCACGGTCAGCTTACCCTCCTCCTCTTGCGTGGCTGCCCCGCCAAACGTTCGTTCATATTTTTCGAATAAAGCGATGAGGACGATGAGGAGAGAGGTCGACCGTCTCTCGCTGTTAGGCGAAGAAACAGGAAGAAGCAGAAGAAGGCGCAAATGACAAAAAAGACCCAGCACGTGCAGATCACCAAATGCAAAGGGACACGTCGGAAAGTCAGAAGATACCCAGGGACAGCAGGCCAAATCAGAAGGTTGCGTGTTAATATCACGTCTGGGTCACTTATACCGCACGGGGTTAAGTGAGTTAAACTGTAGCAACTGCGATCTTCAGACTATGATTCCTTAGAAGAAAAGAAGTTGCTGGAGGCCGAAATAGTAGTAATAGTTTATGCTGTGTACAGAGGAGGGGGAAATAAGCAGGATAAAAGTTTGACTTCGGAGTGCACGACCAGCCAGGAAGCCAGCCGGGTCCTCAGTGACGAGAGCGTCAGGAATCCCCAGAATGCTTCTTTACGGCAGCCAATCACGCGGCTAATGTCTAAACTAGCGGTCGTGGTGCGACCTTGAGATGGACAAAGGCTGGCGTGGACGCGTGGGCCCAGTGAGGCCTGACCCCAGGCAACAGTGGGAGTGCAAGCCTTGCAGGCCAAAAGTGCCTTGCGTCAGCGGCTTTTGCTGACTCACTCCACATAGGCTAGCATGTCCGAAAGCTCGCCGCTGCTAACCAGTACTCCTGCACTCGGCAACAGCCAATCAGGTCCCTCAAAGCTTAGCCTTTCCCCCGGCGAATAGGACGCAGGCACGCCTTGGTCGATGCAGTTTTTCCGGCCAATAACCTTGAGGCAACCAGACAATGCCGGTCTCGTTGTTGCTGCTGCTGAAAACCGCACTTGGACTGTGGCTGGCTCCCTGCCAGTCATAGGCTCGCTGAGTCAATCTATTCTATTCTACTCTCCTTCTGTTGTGTACACAATGAACTCTTTCATCTACTCTGGCCTTTTAAGACTTCTCTCCTGCACTAAGTAACCATGGTCTGAATATCGCAGTTACTGAGTTTAACTCACTTAACCCCCTGCGATATTGGTGACAGTGGTGGGATCCGACGTGAGATGAACACTCAACCTCTGATCTGGCCGAGCTCAATCATCGT